GTTACTTGTGGTGTTGATGAAAGTACATTACACGTTATTGATACAACTATTGGCACAAATGAATGTACATTTTCTGTTAATGAATGGCAAAAGGTGTACTATAAAATCGGAAAAATTTAAAAAGGAACCCACCCGCTTGTGTGTGCGTGGTTTGATACTGCATATGCATAGTGTTTGTGTGGACCGCGAACAGTGCGTTAATCGCGCTTACAATTAATAAGTATTGTCAAGAGAATATGAAGTATTTCGTATTCTCTTGGTATTGTACTTTACCATTTTTAAGGATCTGAGTATTCTAAAAACCCTTAGGTTTTCTGCGATGACTGCCACTTCCCGATCAGTTGAAGTAGGGCCTGAAGAAATTTTCATGACTTCTGGAACAACAGACTAAGAACGGAAGATCATTGCATGGTCTGTCTTATATAGGCGGAAGTCAAAGTTGTTATGAATTCATGACAAGAAGTTTGGACTAGCATTTCGTAAAGGTTTTTAAACTAATATATTTATATAGAAAATGCATTTTCGGCCTACGGATGAATTGCACTCGAGCGTTGGAGGCCTGGACTCGGTTGTACGAAGCCTGGATAGCGCGATCCAACGGATAAATCTTATCCAGTGGATAAATTTATTGGATAACAGCATCGACTTATCCACTGGATAAGGATTTATCCGCCGGATATATAGCGCTATCCATGCAGGCTTCGTACAACCRGGACCATGCGTGTTTTCGACGCTCTCTCCACCCGGATATATAAATGGTTGGGGCATTAAGGCATGCAACGGCTTTGAGGTATATATCGCAATTTATAGGACGTTTTGAAGGTTTAAAGCCGCCTCCTATGACATCACACTCATTAACATATATTATTGGATGTATAAACCTTGATATGTCTAAGATGCATCACTCAAATCCTATAAAAATATTCTACCATTTAACTATTCAATTCATGTAGAATCAATGCTGAAAATATTGATTTAGGTGTCATAGGCACTTTAACCGTGATTGGGGCAGACGTTACTTGCACTTACCATTATTGTGACAAGAAAGTCAAAGATATTCCATCCATTTTTCCAGAAGCTCCAGAACCCATCAATCCACTTGACAAGAATCTCGAGCACGAAGACAGTGAGAACGCAGTAATCCAACACATTTAATGTGACTTTGAGGTTGTCTAAAGATTGGTCCTTGATTTGGGATATTTCTGAAGTGCAATCAAAGTTATTTTATGGTTATAACAATCGCGAATTATTCGTACGGGATTGACTAAAATGTTGGTAAATATTTGCTGAATAGACTCCCGTTAGAATAACAATTGCGAATAATTCTTACGGGAGTGAAAAATGTTGGTAATCAGTTCGCTAAACCGACTCCGGTATTTTAATGATGTGAATAATTGGTACGGGATTGACTAAAATRTTGGTAAATATTTGCTGGACCGACTCCCGTACGATTAACAATCGCGAATAATTCGTACGGGAGTGACTGAGACTACACGAAAAAATTCTAAGTGTCGCAAAAGTATAAAGTTAATTGCTCGCTACTGAGTACAGTCTCGTCAAATACGTTTGAATCAAAATAACATCACCGACATGAATCGGCTAACTGGTCTAAATAAAAATATCGTTATTAGGCTGGAAAAGAATACAGAGTTCGCGAGAAAATCGACGAATTAGAGAGTTTTAGATTTACGTTCACGGCAAACGTGAAACGTCAGTTGACCAGTAAAAAATTCTTTTAAATTACTGAAAAAGAATCGCAAAAAAGTCCAAGTAGTAGAAAAACAAAAGAGTATTTGCGCTTGGTGAGAAGGTTTGTAAAAGGTAAAGTAAAATACAGGAAAACTATGAAAATGTGGTCACGTTTGCCGTTTGCGGGGAGAAAAAAAAGTCAATCTAAAACTCTCTAATTTTTGAAAGTCGACGTACGGGTGACGTACGAAGAGCCACTCCGATTTACTACAATTTTTCTTAGTTTTTCTCTTCTCTTTTCAATTCTTTCTTTTTCTTTCTATTTTTTAACACCCGCTATTCTCTTTAGAAACGTTATTTTACCCTTAATATAATGAGTCGAGCTGACTGACCTGCTTGGATGCCTAAAATTACTGAGTTAGCAATTATCAATATCATGATGAAATTCTGTACTTTCGGGTCTGAAAATCAACAAAAAACCATAAACTATAACATTTTAGTACATCTAAGTAATCATTAGCACAGAAATGAAAATTTTCAGAGCTTATAAAAGACTACTTACTGACAACGACCGTGTGTGCCCATGGTCCAAGTGGTATGCTGTTTTTGTTTTTCACTCGGTTTAGTCTGCGATCGTGAAATCTTTGCTCATCTTTTTTGGTATATAACTGAAACTTTATAAGGCCTTGTGGGTTATCCTTCAGCAATGAACCCATAACTTTGTCATCTAAACATTAATAGTGGGCAAAGATGGAGGAACGTTTTAAATTACTGACAGAAATCAAAGAGAATGAATATATAAGTTAATAGAAAAATGGCATCACAGCGGTAAGTTGGCTAGCCATCAATGCGGATTTAAACAATGCATTAAAAGCGTTTGGACTCAATTGCAGTTAACAATTCTTTTAAAGATTTAAAATATAAATAACGACTTACCAAGAATTTCATTGGAGTAATGTTTTGGTTGGTCATGGCCTCCCTTGTCCAACATCATATCAAGTAGTTGGAAATCCTCGATTAATTTAGACCGGAAAATCTCCGCTCTGGGAGACAACTCCTCGGAAAACTCTTCGTTCATTTTTATGTTTTGCCTTTTGTATAATATATGACAAAACCTTCAAAAAATAGGTCTTAAATGGCTTATACAAGCCAAAGTTAAATATTATAAAAACAGATCATTTCAAAATGGCCGCCACAAAATGAACCTATCAAAAGATGATGGTCACGTGATACAATTTGTCCAATAAAATCTCGAGTACAACAGGATTGCAGCATTTGAAAGAGCTGCTACTTGAAAAGCTTTTTTAAAATATGGCGACCAATTTGAATAACTATATTGTTCTGGACTGACTAGCGACTGACTAGCCTCCTGTTCATTTAAGTAAAAAGGCCTTTTCACGTGTATGAGAAGCTAGTCAGTCGCTAGTCAGTGCGGAACAATAGTTATTCAAATTGGTCGCCATATTTGGATTTGGTGTATTGTCGGGAGTAGTTTCAAATTCAAAACATGAAAGCTGAGATTGAAAGGTATGCTGGGAAGTGACAATCATTTTCAGATATATTCATTTAAGATACACGTACAGTCGATATGAAACGTGTTGGCGGCTCCCATGCTCTCCGTCAGTGCAACAATTAGGCTATTTACCAATTTGGGATCAGCCCCGTCGGGACCACTGAGTTATTCGTTTCCTCGTGTTTTAACTTTTTATATCTTGCATTYGCTTTATTTAACGTAACTTTCTGTTTCTACATTTTATCTTTTATATGGTCAAGTGAAAGTTTCTAAATGAAAATAAAATAAATTTAACAAATTATCGATCATATGTATCATGCATCGTATGTATCATAATATAATTTTGTATTCAGCTTACCGTATATATATTTAATGAGTAATATCTAATCAGAAATATGCAGGGCTATCTTTTTTACACAACCTTGTCACGTTTGGTAGAAAATAGTGTTATTTCCCAGTTTTTCATTTTTGTTCGTTCTTCTTCTCCAAATCGTTTCCACACCACACGAGTTCTTGTCCTTTCTCGTTCCAGTTCGTCAGAACAATCACACACACCGATTCGCCTGCGATCCCTAGTGATTGTGTTTACCATCCTTTTCTTTCTGTATCCGCTTACTTGTTCGTTGGTATCGCCATGGCGTCCTCTCATTGTATACATTGTCATTATTCTTCTTTGACATTTCTGCCAGAATGAGCCGCTGTTTGGACCGGAGGTAGAAGACGTTTCAATATCTCTTGCTGTCTTGTCATCATCATCGTACCTTGAATGCTGTTTTTGTTTTACTTCGAATTTCGAAACAGAATTCTCACCAGCTTTTGTTCCATTTTTCCTCCTTTTTGATTTTAGTTCATTCGCATTGTTCGGCTTTGCTTCATGCGAATAATATTCAGCGCTTCGGTCAGGACCTTGACAACTGCTACGCCTATTGGCAGTTCGATTGCTATCCAGATCATCATTTAACAAATTTTCGAGTGAGCGGGTCATTCTTCTGTTGAGATTGACATCAGATCTCTCAAACTGCACCGGGTCATTACTAAAACCTCCACGAAAAATTTCTCGCGACCTTTCGTTAAAGAAAGCAGTAAGTTCCAGCATCGAGAGTTCACTTTTTCGAGTCCTATTCCTCGTATTCATGGCGGTGGATCTGTATCAACCACTAAAACGCCGTCTGAGTCGGCTGTGTAGTGATGGTGTGTTCACAAGGTTTATATAGGACTGAGTCGGTTCCAATCTACCATAAAGGTTTTTCAGAATCACAGCAGTTTTAAGTAGCTTTCGTGTAGTCAAGGTAAATAAATAAATAAATAGATACCATATGATATTTAATTAACAGAGTTTCTGACGGATTCCGCCCTTCCCAAAAAGGACCAAAAAACCCAGGGGTGGGAGAGGGGAGGAGAGGGGAGGGGAGAAGGGTGGACAACACTAATCCTTTAAGGGTTTGGAATTCGAAAGAAATATTTATTTGGAGCGTCTCCTACCCCTCTCACTCTAAAATGCGAGCCAAAAAGCCGCTCTTATAGTGATCCAATAACGGCTTTAATGGGCGTGGAATTGCGAAAGACCTTTGTTAATGGGCCCCTAAGAACACAACTGGGAGCTTAAAGGAATGAGAGAACCTTGAGGTTTGCGCCATGGCGACACATCTTGAAAACCGCTGCATATTACCATACTTGAAAAATAGCATTTTCGCAAGGCATTCGACTCGTTTGCACCGCCAAAAGATTGCTGAAGAACACGACCAATCACATCGCTGCTTCACATTATGAACAAATGCCACGCCCATTCATCAATTATGATTTAAGAGGGTTGTTGTATTGCAGCGATTTTTTGTTCTTTGATGATACAAAATAATAGGAGGTGAAATAGGCCCTTTGCAGCCTAGTAATCACGTGCTGGAGAGCAAACACACTTTCTACAACCTGTTTCGAGAGATCGTAATAAAACAGCATTTCGTAACACACTCGTTACACATCGTTTCATTCAGTTCTTTACAAGTAGCTAAGAAGAATCAACAATTTAAAAAAAGAACGACAGTACAGACACGTGACAGCGTATCACGCGAATGGGCGAATTTTTCTGGAAAAACTAAGCAAATATGAAATATTTTAAGTAATTATTTATGGCAAGAATTCAACAGTCTGATTGCATGGGACTAAAACCAAACTTTTTTCCCGCCGAAATATTGACCAGTGGTTCGCGCTTTAAAGAAAATGAGTGTAATGGGAAATGAAATAATAAGGCATGTCACAGTAAAGCAAAAGCCTGATTCACACTAGCGTCGTAGTCGTAACCGCAATCATAAACGCACGAAGCTTAAAATCAAGTGTGTATCTAGTCCAGAGCACGCACGGTACTGATTTTATTTTATTTTTGAGACATAAATTAATAAGTTAGTGAGAAAAGAGGGTGACTTTCCAACAATCTATTCCCATACCCCTGTATTTGTCATTTCAGCCGTTGGAAGATAAATTAAGCCTTATTTGCGAAAATAACAGTGCATATTTGTCCACATTCGAATTTGCTTCTAGGCTGTAGGGTGATTGGTTTGGTCACATGACCAGCCTCGACACAAATCATGTTGGGATACTGTTAAAAAATCAAAACAAAAATAGAAAAATCAACATCAAAATAACGAAAACAAAAATCAAACCAAACCAAAGACAAACATAAAAAATCCAGAAACAAATATAAAAGAAGCAAAGATAAAACAAAATAAACATAAAAACAAAGACAAAGATGAAAACTTTTTGATTTACTCTTATTGATTTGCATTAAGAATATGCAGAAGAATGCTCAGAACACTTACTTCATTATCATCAAAGTCTGACATAGTTTTGGCCTTCTCCTGCCAAGGATTCCACACAACTGATGAAAAATAGACAAATTAAATAATAAAGACTAGAACAAGACTTTTAAAAACAATTGAGCTTTTTGTCAAGATGTCTTTTTCTGAGCAGCCCTGATCATAACTTTTCTTTCTTTTTTTCATTCACTCTTTTTATTTTTCTCACCATCATCATGATTCTCATTTTTATCATCTTCCTTATTACCATCATCATAACCATCATTATATCATCATCATTACCATCATCATATCATAATCCTTATCATCATCAACATCATATCACCATCAATCATCAAACACCATCACCATCATCATCAGCATCACTATCAGCATCATCATCATCATCACCATCACTATCAGCATCACTATCAGCATCATCATCATCATCATCATCACCATCATCATCAGCATCACCATCATATCACAAACTAACCAGTATCAGGCAGGTTTATTTTCTCTACCATGAGATCATTTCCACCTCCAGCTTTGGTTATGATGTGCTTGTCTGGTGTGTTTTCATAAACTCTAAAAACAAATATACATTCGATTCATACATACATTGATAACTTAAGGATGATAACTGGAATTGAAACATGGTGAACACAGCCATTCTCTAATTTATCAAGGACATTTCAAAGATGGTTATGATGTTTGCATGGACAGTTTAGTATGCAATCCACTGACAACTCAGTGGTAGCATCACTATTTGAATCAGGATCGACTAACCAACCATCTACCATACATGGAACCCTGAAAAATAATCTAGTTATGGTGTGTAAGTTTTCTTATCTCACCTGTCAGTTAGACAGTCAACAGTAATGGGTTCGCTTGTTTCTGTAAATTTCTTGCATTCTCTTATCTAATAGATGGGAAAGACGATAATTTTTGCTAATATTTAGTCAAAGTTCAAGTCTCATCCCTATTGTTAAAGCTACCCCCACCCCACCCCTCTTTGTGCCCATTTTATTCAAGGTGCCAAAATTTATTTTTAATTAGAAGAGTATGGTGAAAAGTCTAAGTAGACGATATTCAGATACCTTGTCAACATAAGCCAATCCATTAAAACCAGATACTGTTACCATAGTAACATCAGGTACTTTAAAGTAGGTATGAAACAGGGTTGTGAAGTCAAAGGGCTTGTCATCTAAAATGCAAGGAAATTATTATTCACAAATTTATTGTGATGCGCATAGGATTCAGGCCCATTGCTAGGGGTGGTTAAATGGTTCAAATGAACCCCCCTCTCCTATACAGAAAAAATGCAATAAGGTCCAATAGCTAAGATTGGTAGAAAAAGGAATTTCCCCTTTCGAGGTCCTAGTGATGGGCCTACATGGAATTTTGTGAATTTCCCTTCAAAGTGTAGTAAATAGAAACCTTTTATGACCTGTACATTTTCAATGTATATTACCTTTATTTTCGACATCAAAGTTAATAGCCAGCTTGTTTTGTCCAACTGTAACAGTGTAAACTAGTTTAAACCTAGAGTAAAATAAATCAGAAATCATCAAATATTCAGTGAGCTTCAGCAATGTACAGCCTTAATAAGAACTTTACCTATAGTTCCACATTTGTCTAGTGAAATCAGAATCTTCCAACACAAATCTAGCAATAGCACAATCATTTTTGATCTGAAAATAAAAACAGAAAATGCTGAAATATTTTAAATATATGCAAGAATAGTTTTTAAATGTTTAAAAAGTTTTTTAATTTCAACAGCTAATTTTGCATAAACTTGAAATGATTCTTGCTATATACTTCATTACAGTGCAACGTGCAAAAGCATGACCACAAACAAGCTCTTATATGCCTTATTTGGTAAAGGCGGCCAGACTTGTATCAAAATATATTGGTTTAATGTATGAAAGCCCATGCATATAAATATGAAAGTAAATTAAATGTGGTCACATTTTTGCACATTGTGCTCTTGTTTCAAATAAAATAATAACGATAATAATAATTATTTAATATTTATTATATAAAGATGAAGAATGGTTTGTCTGAAATGACTTCCTTACAATACTGAGCATCAAGCAATATTTTCTTACCTTTGCTTCTCCATCAAGATTCCATTTGCAAATTCTAGCAAATCCATGCTGAGGACCAAGGTCCCATGGACCAAAATTTGCTATAAAAAACAAAAGGATTTAACAGTCTTACAGTCATTTTCCCAATGGGTTTTTGTTGGGAAGAAAAGAGGTCTACTGCTCAGTTTAATACTTACGAAACAYCACAGGAACCCCACCCCTGATTGCTTTCTTGCCATCAAACACAGCCTTCTTGCTAAAAAAATGAAAGAATGATTACTGTAAGTCTGTGGGAATTATGAGGATGCAGTGTGCAATAATATGAGACACAAAGTAGGTGCATAAAAATATGCTATTACTGTATATGTCAAGGGCAGATTCTGGGAGCACATCTTAGTTACTATCCAACCCCCCACCCATGTCTAGAAGTGCCTTGGCATTTCCTTTTTTGGGGTAAGGAGGGGGGAGGGGAGGGGGAGAAGGCAGGGGGAGGGGGAGGGGTGTAAGAATGGAATTTTTTCGAATATACCTCAGAAATAGCATTTCATTATCCTTGCATTTCCATGACGTAATTGATGCACCTAAAAGCAGAAAAGGGAGATAAACGATACAACAAAGTATATTCTAGTCAATACCACCCGTTCCCCTTCCCCCTCGCCTGCATGCTTCAGCTATGAAATTTTCCAACAGGTTTTTAATAGAGAGGCTCGAATGAGCATGTTCGTCTTCCTATTAAAGAAGTAACTTATAAACTCTTTGACTGAACCAAACTTTTAGCTAACGAGTCGAGCTTACAAACCAAACAAGTTCTTTACTTTACATTATTTAGTTTTTTTTAAGTTTTAAGAAGTGGACTGAGCTGCTATGATTTGGTTTAAGCATAACGTACCGTGTAGGAATATTTCTGCAGAGTCGCCGTCTGGTGCTTTGAGAAAAACAGAATCCGCCATGTTGATCCTTCACGTGGAATGAGTCTTACCGCTGACCATCGGGATTATTTGGCGCTCCGTTTTCTCTGAAGTCAGGGCGGGAGGAGGGAGGGTCCCTCCTCCCGGCCTGCTAAATTCCTTCAATGACAGCACTGACTGAGTCAAGATGTTACAGTGAAAACAATAYGGGTTAATTAAGCCACAAACTTAAGCCAATAATCAAGCAACGAAGCCTAGTTTACATTAGCCTGAGCGCAGAACGAATTTAGGCTAAGTTTACATTTCTGATTTAAAAGTGCATTAATCTAGGGGGGAAGGGGCCGGGGGTCATCAAAGCATTTTGAGAATGATACCTCCTTGGCCTATGCCAGATCGATAATGGATTGTTCAATAATCAGATAACGATTGGATAATAAATTATAAACCCGGTTTTGACTCGACCCAAGGTGAAATTACAAATTTCAGACAAAGAATGGTAGTTTAAAAAAAAATTTAATCTAATAATTTTGTTTGAGGATTAGTGTAATTATAATAGGAGTTTTACACGAAATATCGTCAAAACAGTTTTTCCCCTTTTAGTTCCCCTGCTCTAAAACCGTATTAAAACACGGTGCCGTCCACTTTGAACTCTTTGCTCTTGGGATTATTGGCCACGATTCCCCTGTCCCCTGGGATCCAGAGGGTGTTTGATGTTTTGAAGGCACAGGATTGAGAAATATAACTCTGGAGACCCGGCAGGTTGATTGGTCATTATTCAATGCGTGCGCTTCACACACACACACACATATATATGTATATATATATATATTGTAGAAAATAATTTGTTTTTTTGATTAATTAGAATAATTAAAAGTTGATAAATAAGACTATGCATCGTTGTCTAGCTTGGGTACAAACAAGCACCATATATCAAGGTATGATGAACAAACGATGTAGTTATACCCAAGCTAGACCAGAATTCACCAGTGTTCACTATCAGAAAATGTCTATGAAAACCCAAATTACTTTGGATTTTCATGAGAAGATTTGATGTTGTCGGCATGCTCGAAAACATATCCCTTATCAAATGGAATAGGAAGACAGATCGGAATGGACTCCATTTTTGGGTAAAATGTGACTTCTCCACGAACCAAAGTAGAAGTAAACCTGTTCCAATCTAGTGGTMCCGTGTTTCCCCACTCCAAGGAGCTCACACCCAATAAAGGCCATGCATCGGTTGAGCAATACTGATAAACATAGAGCCGCCTTTTCTTTTCAGATAAGTTTGCCGCTGACCCATGGATGGCTTGAACGTGGTGCAGGCTCACTCCTCCAGAGGGAACCTCAAGATGAACTGCAGAGCTTGGATCAAATCTTGAGTCGTTTATAGCTGATGCAAATTCGCCATCTTTGAAGTGTGATAGCAAAGGACCTCTATGTGATTTTGGAACGACTTGAAGACATCCTGAGAAAGAAGGAGAAGGGAAAAGAAAAACTAAGAAAATTATTTTTTGCCTGAAAAGTACTCAGTGCTCATTCTCCGCAGCCGGGTTCCCTGTGGTTAATAAAGTAAACGTCTTTACATCTGAATACAAACCGTTTTCTTTGGTTGTGTCGTCGATAGACACACRAGCCATGAGGATCTTTTGATTGGTGTGAGGATTAAAAGCCCAGTCTTGATGCCACTTGATTGGGAACCCTGTACCTTTTGGTAACTTAAGGTTGACTTTGTCTTGCTTTATGTACCGAATATTTGGACCAATCTGTAAAGTAGGTCAAGTACCAAGAACGTATTATAAGCTTTGCAATAAGGTCTTGCACATGTAGACTGCGAGGAATTTCTACTTTTCCATCTAGAACAGTCTTTAGACTAAGTAAAGACGAGATTTTAGCCGAGTGTCGCTTCAAATTCGCCTTCACTTCCCGCGCTTCCACAATAGGGAAAAAAAATGCAACAAATGCAAGGTCAAGATGTGCCATCATCCTCTTTCTAAGTATCCCCTCCCCTCCCTTCCCCGGCGGTTACCTTAAATGTTTTGCCTACCAGCTGTTCGACGATATCCAATAAGCGTTCATGACGAATTGTGTCTTCAAAGACAGGGAAAAGTAACGAGGGAATGTGTACACGCTGTAGCATCGGGTTTTCAGGGGTGTGATGTGGATCCAACGTGAAATGGTTGGTTGATTTGGTCATGGATCTAGCCCTGGAATAAAGCAGAGGATAGTTTCAATGTTTGGATCTCAATTAAAGAAAGGTGCGTTTTTCATTTGGTGGGGGGAGGGGGCTGGGGATTCATAGGGGAGAGTCATTTGAAATTTTGTGTAGGGTCAAACCTTTTTTATTTTTATTTTGGCAAAAGCTGTTTCCTTTTTGATTTAATAGGAGGGTCATGCATTTCTTACCGAGTTAAAGGGGGAGGGTTACAACCGCTTTTAAGTTAACTGTGAATCCCCCTGTAAAGAAACCCCGTTCCTTTCCTAACYTAACATAACAGTCACCACAATCATTATATCCCGAACATAATGACCACCATCAACTGACCACCATCGTCGAAAATCGGCAGACATTTAGTGCCCTGGACTGTGCGATACACTCAGATACAGTTTGTTTGTCTTATCACAATGACCTTGCTCATCATTCGAGTTTCCTGTACCTTTGTCGTTAGAGAGTCCGACTAGAATACGAAAGTCGGTCGTGGGACCAATTCCCTTTTGTCTGGAGCAGGCTCTGAATTTTTACTTGTCTCCGCACTATTTTCTACATATATCATATATCAATGATCACCATCCTAAGAGTACTCCACTTCAACACTAATACCACTGTCTCCACCACAATCACCAACACTACCACTAAAGAACACTGAACAAGAAACAATACCTTCACATTCACCGTTTACCCCCCCCCCCCAAAAGAACTAAGAATACTATCACGATATATCATCATTCCCCCCTGCTTCGCGCTTCGCCACCACCACCACCAACAATGACAATACCCAGCACAATCATAAAAACAAATGTTGTAAACCGTTGCTTACTTTTCCTCGCATTCATCAAGGACATCCTTCATCCTTTGAATGTGTTCCTTGTCGAATACATCATTCACAACGACGTATCCTTCGTTTTCGAACTGCAAATAAATATTACCATTACAATTGTATTATGATATAAAAAAAGGCTTTAGCTGGCCACAGGAACATTAATTAAGCAATAGAAAACTTTTTCCGTGTTTACATAGCCTGATAGCAACACGAGGGGAGATTGGGAGAATTCTCGACAGTTATGCAAACCCGAGACGTAGTCGAGGGTTTGCATAACTGTCGAGAATTCTCCCAACCCCTCGAGTGTTGCTATCAGGCTATGTAAACACAAAGAAAAGTTTTCTATTGCTTTTATAAAATAAATACTAAGGGAATACATTTTGGGGCATTTTTTTCCTCGAAAAAGACTGTAAATTTTTGAACTTGTACCGGGAAAACACGAAAGTTGTGACGTTACAACTGTTTACATATTCTCATGCAAACATGGCTATCAACCAATCACAGCGTGCGTACTATTTAATCTATTTTATAAAAAAATATAACATCAAACGGCCTCAAATCGCGCTGAAACTTCGCCAGAAGACTGCAAAAGGTACAGAAAGCGACTGCAGCAAATTATTCAGTGAAACGTTTGATTTTCATATCTTTATCCTAACTCCCATATATTCCCTTATTTAAAGCTATGACAGGAACCTTGTTTTGGGCTGCCTTTGGGTTCGTGTATTTAAAGTAAACCTCAGCTCTCCCTCTTCGTCTTTTAATGTGTATAATAATAATAATAATAATAATAATAATAATAAT